CCCCAATCCGAATTAGGAAAGGGAAGGGGGCGCGGCCCCCCTTCTCCTTCCTTCTCTCCACCTCCTCCTTCCCCCTTCTCCTAGTTGGAATAGGAAAGGGGGGCAAAACCTACTTGGAGTAGGATTGCCCCCCCTTGGGCGCGCCTCCTCCTCTTGGCTGGCCCCTCCTCCTCCACTCCTTTATATACGTGGCCAGGGGGAACCCCATAGACACAACAATTGATCTCTTGATCTCTTATCCGTGTGCGGTGCCCCCTCCACCATAATCTACCTCGATCATATCGTAGCGGTGCTTAGGTGAAGCCCTGCGTCGGTAGAACATCATCATCGTCACCACGCCGTCGTGCTGACAAAACTCTCCCTCAACACTCGGCTGGATCGGAGTTCGAGGGACTTCATCGAGTTGAACGTGTGCAGAACTCTGAGGTGCCGTGCGTTCGGTACTTGATCGGTCGGATCGTGAAGACGTACGACTACATCAACCGCGTTGTACTAACGCTTCCGCTTTCGGTCTACGAGGGTACGTGGACAACACTCTCCCCTCTCGTTGATGTGCATCACCATGATCTTGCGTGTGCGTAGGAATTTTTTTGAAATTGCTACGTTCCCCAACACCTTCCACGCAACGGAGCCAGGCATCCCTCATGTTCGTCCAACGTGCTCAGGATTCCAGAGGGGCTCGATCAGCTCATCATTCTCTCTATCAGGAATGAACGTCCCTTGCTGCACTGTGGCGATACACTTCTGAAGCTTCTTGACGGGTATTGCAAGTTGCTCGTCCGTCCAAACAGACTTCCTTGTTTTAGGGTCCAAAGTCCCCCTAACCCCGAAGAACCAAGTCCTTGAACGGTCTGGCCAGTTCAATGTCTCTGGTTCGACCCCTTTAGCAAGCAGGTAATTCTCAGCTTTGTCCCATACCTGCCGGGCTTTGAGGTATCCACCTGACCCCGTGCGATGGTGAAACTTCTTCTTTGCAACATTGTGCTTGTTGTCTCTGACATCGTCTTACTCATGTCCGATATCTTGTAGGCCACAAATGCGGGCCAGTGATCTCTTATCTTCTCAAATCATCCGGTGAATTCTGGAAGCTTCCCTTCGTCGACAAAGGCTTATTTCAACACATTCTTCCACCTCCTGAATACATCTGCCATCTTCTTAAGATCACACGCCTTGACCAATGGCTCTATAACCGGCTTATTCAGATCCTCCTCTGGCGGTAGGGTGAAATTTTCCTTCAGCGAGCTCCAAAGATCATCTTCCTGTCTATCGTTGACATAAGAAACTTGAGGGTCTTCGTTCTTAGGCTTATTCCATAGTTGGATGCTGATCGGGATCATGTCCCTAACAATAGCCCCGCACTGAACAGAAAATGCTTTCTTGGTCCGCCTGGGTTCAATCAGTTTGCCATCGTCCGAGATTGTTGTGATCGTGAACCTTTCATCCTGGTGCAATCTTTTCTTCGGGCCTCGTCTCGTCACCGTAGTTTGGCTCGATCCGGAGGGCTATAAAAGAATAAAGAAGAGTTAATATATGTACATACCAAAACAATTAATGCATCAATTAGCTAGTCAGCACGAGGATGGGACAGGATGGGGACGGGACAGGACGGACCGCCAAACCTAGACAAATCTCGAGGAAAATGGAGTTTGGACAAGGAGCTTTAAGAGGAGAAATCTTAAGTGTGGCTCAGGCATTTCATTGAACACATCGTGTGCATAGGAGATGAGCTAGAGCACCATAAAGCTCTCCCACGGCCGGCCAGAAAAACAGAGCACTCCACTGCTCTGCTTGCGGGTGAGGGGGTATATATAGGCATCTCATTGGTCCCAGTTTGTGTCTGGAACTGGGACCAATGCCCAATGAGACTCGGTCGGCCCCTTGGCCTCACGAACCGGGATAGTTGCCCCCATGGGTCCCGGTTCGTGAGTGAACCGGGACTAATGGGCTGGCCCTGCCTGGACCAAAACCCTGTTTTCTACTAGTACCATGGTGGTCGCTGAGTTGAAGTGCGGGAACGACGGGAGCTCCTCAAGGGCTGGCGTAGGAGCCCCGCACACGGCGACGTGCACTTCATGGATGCGCCGCGCCTCCGCGGTTCCCTGCGCGTTCTTTGAATTCCCCGGTAATTTGAGTCCAAACTTGTTTCGGTTCCAGAAATTCTGCAACCATTTACCGACTTGTGTGCGAGGCGCTGGCCCGGGATCCACACAACACATAGAGCTTCCTCCTCTTTTACATGGAGTCAACAACAGCAATTTTCTTTTATCGATTGCAACCACGTATGCTACCAACGGTGGTAAAATGCTAGCCAGAACTATGCGATGATGATGATGATGGTAAACAGCTAATTAATGACAACAAGGAAATGGTAAACGAGTAGCAGAATTGTGCTGTTGGACGCAGTTGGTTATGATAGAACATACTGTGCAATCTTGATGATGATGGTAAACAACTAATTAATGACAACAAGGAAATGGTAAATGAGTAGCAGAATTGTGCTGTTGGACACAGTTGGTTATGATAGAACATACTGTGCAATCTTATTAGAGACCTCCAGTACATTTATTTGAGTGGTATACAATCACTCCTAAAAACAGCTTTTCCATGGCCACGTGAACACATCCATTCTACATCTATGAAAAAAATACTAAAATACAACAAGATTTACATTGTAGGAGTTTTGAAACAGAATTAGATTGGCGCTCCTCTTCGCTTCCTCCCTGTTAAGGCACCACCTTCACGTGTACCCTGAGCATGACTTGTAACCAAATGAGGAAATGAATTATGAGGCGGTATCCTTGATTCCCATGCAATTAGAATGAAGTCTTGTTTCGGGATAACACTAGGATCTCTTATAAGTTCCCCAAATGTTAGACTTGGCAATTCCTTCTTGATTGAAACATTAGGAGTACAAGCTATCATGCTAAGTGGTTGCAAAGCATAGTCCGTTATGTCCACTAAATGGGCTTGGTCCGTCAGCATGCTTAGGCGCCCACCACATGTGGAGTAGTTTCTCTTAAAATATCTTAGTCCCTTCTCTAGTATGCAATGCCAAAATTGAACACTGAGGTTCATTCTCAATACATCCGTGAGCATATTTGTTGCAATAAGTGTACCTGCTGGCACATTATGCAACATGTTGCAAAATTCATCTGCTAGTTGTACTAGCCGTGGATGTTCTGTAGGGTACCTCAACTCGTCATAAGACAAAACATTTAGGAAAATAGGCTGTACCGATCCAAACCGGGTTAACCTTTTAAGTTTACTTATGATGATGATCTTGCTTCCTGTGCTCATTCTTATGAGAAAAGAGTGAAACCTTTTCCATTCATCCTCACCTACATCAGAAGCAAACTCAATCACTACCAACATCGTCCCAAACATGGTCCTTCCATGGTCAAATATGGTCAAGAGGTTGTGTCCATTCAAGTGCAAAATAGAGGAGAAGCGTGACCGAACCCTTTGGTCGCCACACACATGAGCAACCAAGGTTTTCTTTCCAACTCCAGCACCACCTATGATCGGAAGAACTGAAAGTGCATGATCACCAGGAGGGTTGTTGTGCTCCAACAAGAAGCTCAAGAGCTTTTGCTTTTCAGTGTGTCGGCCAAACATGAAATTGTCGGTGTAAAGATAAACATCATAGGGCCTACGGGATATGCGCTGGCATCCACCCAGAAGAACAATAAACTCTGCCATATTAGCAATAGAAATTTCTAAGCTTTTCAAGGCACCATGTGACTCGAGGCGCATTTCCTTGTCATCCTTCCCAGATGTTGTTCGAGAACGCTTGAAAGGAATGGCTAAATGCAAGCTGCTGCTAGACGAGTCATTGATGCTAACCTTGTCGAAGCCTGCACTGTGTTGGAGGGCATGGTACCTCAAGCAGTCCAGCACATGGTGTCCTCGGTACATGGCCTCTGAGAGTGTCTTGAGATGCATCATCATCCCGGAGTTGGTTATGTATCGTGTGTCTGCCTCCTCAAGGATGGTGCCAGCTCTCATCAGGAGGTGATGCAACCTTTGCATCACCTTCTCCTCTGATTGGGCATGGCTCAAGGAGTAGTACTTGTTCATCAGTAAGGAGACGAACTGGCTCACGAGTTCACTAGCAACTGCAGATATGGCAGTCTCCATAGCTAGGATTCATGAGGTAAGCTGCTGGCCTGTCTCTGGACAAATTTAACTATGATGGCCTCTTACAAGTCTTACGGAGATTCTTGGCAAAATAGAAAAGTCTCCATGGATGACTTTGACTGCTACAAGGGCGGCTAACATGTGACAAGGACAAGCCTATACTGTCCAAGCAGGAAGAAATAGTTGACTAGTATTTTCAATATCCACAGTATGTAGGACCAGATTAATTATTGTCTTTTATATCTTCAATTGTGAAAACGACGAGCCAACTGTCCAAGAAACGTGACAACATATATTTAATATTTACGCACCAGCTTGTATATTTAAGTTATCTTTGCATTTATCTTTAACTGGACTCGTTTTACATTTTACACCACAAGGCATATCCAGTATATGCACACTCTACTCTAGCAATGTTTGAGCTCAACTCATCGGGAAGCAAACGATATGCACCCTTTTACCATGTTCGGTAATGATGAGAATCACAACTCCATGATTCAGGGCACATGTTGCTTTGTAAGTTGGTTTCTTTAGAACCCAACCAGTCATGTCGCTTATATTGTCCTAGTTCAGTATTTAACTGGAAACTGTTAAACCTTGTGCATTCTCTGCAGAGTTCAGGCTTGACCTGATGCTGATCTTCAAAATGGAGAAAGGAAAATGGTATTGTGTAACCTGTACGATTGAAATTGCAAAAGAAATTATTAGGGTTGGAGTAATTTCCAAAGTATCAGTCATTCCGAAATTTACAAAAAAGAAAAAAGCGCTTCATCATTTTGGCCCAAAATGTTGCAGATAAGCTGCTGACGGAGGGGTTGCGAGTCGTACGTAGGCAGCAGCCGTAGCTAACCAGGCACACAAGAGACAATCCGGCGAGACGTACGCGTATGCTCGAAGCTAACGCCTTAAGCAGCTGGATCAATTCTACGCTTGTACACGGCGAGTTGATGGCAAACAGGGCCGTGTCGGTCCTGTGCTTTTTATTGCTTTGATTTTGATCTGTTTACAGGCATAGGATACAGCTATATTTATAGTAGTACAAAGCTAGCTAACCCAAACCTACTCGGATGATTGCACCAAGTCCGTGCCGGACTAGTCTGCCGTGGTTGATTCCAACATCCGGGGTGTGCTTCACGGCCAGCCACTGCAGCTAGCAGCAACTTCCGTTGCCGGCAGCTCAGCAGTGGCACCTGAGGGGTCTCATTTACGACAGTAAGAGCATCTTCAGCCATTCGGCCCACCAGGATGCATAAAAATCGTTCTCTGGGGGCGAGTCGGCGCTGCAATCGGCGTTGGGGCGGTTTCGCATCCAGTCGTCGCCCCCGGCCGTTGAAGTTGGCCCACTTTTCAGCCTCATTTCGATGAAAAAAGGGCTCATATGGATAACAATAGGCCCATATTCGGCATGGTTCGCCGTTGTTCGGCGTTCAATTATGCACATAAATTTTTTTATCACATATTTCATCACAAAAATATAAAATACTTCAACAAAATAGTACAACAACAAATAGTTAAATACAAATTATATAGTTCAACAAATAAAAACTCATATTTCATCACACGTGGCGCCCGGTGTCGCCCTTGAGCCTCCATAGATGCTCTATCAGATCTTGCTGCAGTTGATGATGCACCTGTGGGTCTCAGATCTCCTGACGCATACTGAGATAGGCAGTCCAGGTTGCCGGTAGCTGGTGATCAACTTCGGCTAGAGGACCCTGCATGTAGTATGGTTCAGTGTCAAACACCGGGTCTTCTTGCTCGCTCTCGATGATCATGTTGTGCAAGATGACACAACAAGTCATAATCTTCCACATTTGATCTTTCGACCAGGTCTGAGCGGGGTACAGAACAACACCAAATCGAGATTGGAGCACACCAAATGCCCGCTCGACATCCTTCCTGCAAGCCTCCTGAACCTTCGCAAACCAGGCGTTCTTGCCTCCTGGCACAGGGTTTGAGATCGTCTTCACAAATATCGACCATCTCGGATAGATACCATCAGCTAGATAGTACCCCTTGTTGTAGTGCCGTCCATTGATCTCGAAGTTCACCGGAGGAGAAAGACCTTCAACAAGGTTGGCAAAGATAGGAGAGTACTGCAGCACATTGATGTCATTGTGAGTTCTTGGCATACCAAAGAAGGAGTGCCAAATCCAGAGGTCCTGTGTAGCAACCGCCTCAAGTACCACACTTCAACCGCCTTTGGCGCCTTTGTACATCCCCTGCCAAGCAAATTGGCAATTCTTCCATTTCCAATGCATGCAGTCGATGCTTCTAAGCATCCCAGGAAATCCTCTTGCTGCATTCTTTGCTAGGATCCGAGCAGTGTCTTCCGCATTGGGTGTTCTCAAGTATTGTGGTACAAACACTGCCACCACTACCCGACAGAACTTGTAGAAACACTCTATGCTGGTGGACTCGGCCATGCGCCCATAGTCGTCGAGTGAATCACCGGGAGCTCCATATGCAAGCATACTCATCGATGTCGTGCACTTCTGGATGGAGGTGAATCCAAGAGCGCCAGTGCAATCCATCTTGCACTTGAAGTAGCTGTCAACTCCCGGATGGAATTCACAATCCTGAGGAAGAGCTTTCGGCTCATCCGATAACGGCGCCGAAATATTTTCTCGCCGTGAAGTGGAGCATCAGCGAAGTAGTCGGAGTAGAGCATGCAGTAGCCTTCGAGACGATGCCGGTTCTTTGCTTTCACCCGCCCAGGCTCCGAGCCACCTCGCCGCGGCTTTTCATTGCTCGCCAGCAGCTGGGCGAGGGCGGCGAGCACCATGAGATGCTCTTCTTCCTGGACGCCGGTCTCGGCTTCCTCCTCCAGCAGCGCGGCGAGCGCTTCCTCGTCATCCGAGCCCATCGCCGAGGCAGGCAAATCACCGAACACCTTGCGCTCGGTGGGCGTGTACCCGCCGCTAAACCGCGCCTCCGCGGCCGGAAACACCCAGCTGCTGTTGGAGGGGCTGCCGCGGCGAAGCGCTTCTATTTTCTGGCGGGGAATGGCTATCTAGCGGTGTAGGGTGGCGGGCGGCGCCGGGATATAGCTACTGGTGGACGAGAGCGCGGGGGGTGGAAGGCGAGTCGGGGAAGAAAACCTTGACTTTTCCCCTGACGGTCTGGGCCAGCCACGCTTTTCCCTTGCGCCGGAGCCTCCAATTGCTCCCCAGTGTGCCGGGTTCGGCCTGTGACCGCCGGGCGGAAAAAAGGGCCGAACCGGCGATTTTCGGCGTCCTGAGGACGTGACTGGGGCGTTTTTTCCGCGCCGGCGCCGAAAAAGTGGCCTGGGGAGGCCTATTGGGGACGCGGCTGGAGATGCTCTAAGTAGGCCTAGATTAATTATTCTCAGATTGAAGTTGGAGTGGTTTTCATATCCACAGTAAGTAGGCCCAGATTAATTATGGTCAAGTGTGAGAACGACAAGCCAACTGTCCAAGAAACATGACAACATATCTTTCATATTTACGTACCAGCATGTATATTTAAGTTATCTTTGGATTCATCTTTAATTGGACCTGTTTTTACATTTTACACCACGCGGCATATCTTTGCATTTATCTACTCTAGCAAAGTTCGAGCTCAACTCATTGGGAAGGAAATGGTGTGGCTTATTTTGCGCTAGTTCAGTCTTTAACCAGAAACTGTTGCATCCTGTGCATTCTTCAAAGTTTAGGCTTGGGTCTGATGTTGATCTCCACCATGGGGTAAAAATGGAAAAGGAAAATAGCATGATGCAACTAGAGGATCAACAGCTTGGTTTTCTTTCCTATTTGAATCAAGAGTGTCTAGAAAAATTAAGTGGCCTCTGCCAAACAAGTCTTAGGCCCTCTTTGATTTGCAGGATTTTGAGAACGTAGGAATAGAAAAAACACAGGATTTGATTGGCATGTCCATTTGAATCCTATAGGATTAGCATAGAGGGTTTGATGTCATGGGGAAAACAAAGGAATTGTAAAAAGAGGTTGGAGTGGATGTTTGATTTCCAATGAAATATAGTACACTTGATTTCATAAGAAAAAATCCTATAGGATTCAATCCTTTGAATCAAAGGACAGCCGTAGGAAAAAATCCTAAGGATTCTAACCCTCCAAATATTCTATGTAATTCCTTTGAATCAAAGAAGCCCTTACAGTGTTGTGGAAAACAAGTCTCACAGAAACTCTTTGCAAAGTAGAAAAGTCAGCAGGGGTGTCTAAACCGTTGACAGCGACGAGTCGGTCGATGACAGCCAGATTCTTGTCTAAATGTCCACACATGTGACACAGACAATCCAACAATCCAAGTATCATGAAAAGAATTGACTAGTATTTGCGGAACAAAATACATCTATGTTTAATTATTTCTCTTGTCTTGGACTCCCTCTATACATTTTACATGGCATCCAATATATAAAGTTGAGTAGAGAAGCAGGTTGGTCCTTTTTTCATCACAACTACATACTTGGGTATAAATCTTCCAGTGAACATGTAACTAGTTTGTCTGTACATTTGATCCTTTTGTCGGTTCTTCAAAACCCAGTCTGACTAAGTGTCTTATTTTGTGCTAGTTCGGTATTAGATCCAAGATTGTTGCAGCTTGTGCATTCCTCAGAGTTGAGGCTTGACCTGCTGTTGATCCCCACCATGGTAAAAATAGAAAAAAGGAAATTGCAAGATACGCTTTGGACGAAACTTCATTTGCTTTCTATTAAAAACTAGGAGTTGCTTGCGTACATGAAATTGTTTTCTTTCCCCTTTTAAGGAGTTGTAGTGTTAGGTCTAGGAGTCCGATTAAGCTATGTTTCCTTTCTTTGTACTTTAAGTCTTATGTACTCCCTGCGTTTCATTTATTTCGCATATTAGCTTTGTTCTGAGTCAAACTTTATAAACTTTGACCAGGTTTATAATAGAAAAATTAACATGCACAATACCAAGTCAATACCATTATAATCATCTTTCCGTAAATTTTCATGCCATATATATTTTTTATTGTGAAAGTTTAGATTGTTTTTGATAAACTTGGTCCACCTAATAAATTTGACTTATTTCAAAGCTAATATACGGAATAAATAAAATCAGACGGAGTACTATATATGCCCAATGGGCTATGCGATATAGATACGTTGCTCCATAACACCCCCTTAATATTTGCTCCCTGTAATAACTAGGGTCGGAGCAATTACCAAAGCATCAGACATACTGAAATTTACAAGAAGGGCTCCATCATTTTGGCCCGAAATCTCACAGGCAAGCTGCTGGTCAGCTGTCACAAGTGTATTCGAGGGTCTGGGTGGAGATGCTGTGCCAACTGCAGCGATGACTTTCCTGTCCGGCAGCTCGACCGTGGCCCGCCAATGTTTTTTTTCAAGTAAACAGAACTTTATTAAGCAGTAGGTTCAGCAATATCGCTGGCAACAAGAACGTTGTGATGGACTTAGGAGGTGTTTGGTTACAGGAACGGTATCGGTAATCAGATTACACAGTTTCAAGAGGTGTTATGAGTTCTTTCCTAGTTTGTTTGGTTTGTCCACGGTAAAGGAAACCATGCAATCCAGACGTTTATGTTGACTTAATAACGGTTTGGTGATGGCCGTCTTAGAAAGTACATTATGTTGACTTAATAACGGTTTGGTAATGAGCTCTCCGTTTGTTACTACAACTTGCTTGCAAAACTAGTAAAGCTTGTGGTGCACTAATGATCTTGTACATGACAAGATGCTACTGCCTGCAGGCGCAGGCTGGACCTAGTTTGCACGACGATGGACGATCCCAAACACCTCGCCCATGTCCAGTGTCTCTGGGCCCGCCCCACACGGAATCGCCCAGTCAAAGTGGTACAGGAGGTTTGCCAGCACAAGCTCCATCGTCGTGCTCGCGAACAACGCTCCAGGGCACTGCCTACGACCAGCTCCGAACGGGATGAACTCCATCTGTGGCCCTTGCTTGAAGTACTCCACACTCATCTCCTCAAACCTCTCGAGCCTGAACTCCGCGGCATCCTCACCCCAGTGTGTCGGGTCCGTGCCAACCGCGAAGGCGTTTATCATGACGGAGGTGCCCTTGGGTATGTGGTAGCCCATCACTTGGCAATCCTCCATGGCCGCCCTGTGTATCAGTGACACAGAGGGGTGCAACCTTAGCGTCTCCTTGATGACCATCCGAAGATAGTGCAGGTCGCCGAGGTCTGCGCTGGTGATGGTGGACCTGCGGTGGTGTCCGAGCATCTGCTGGAGTTCGAGTTTGGCCCTTGCCATTACGTGTGGGTTGCGGATGAGTTCTGCCATAGCCCATTCTAGGGTGGAAGATGTAGTGTCCGTAGCAGCTCCAAATATTTCCTGTTGCAAATTATTGAATGTTAATTTTAGGCAATGTTGAATTGCATGTATCAAACAGTTCATCTAAAAGTCCGGGAAAAAAAATTCGAACTGATGGGGAAAGACGAACAATATATATATTTTTTGAAACAAGAATAGGTTACTACTAGCTAAAAAGATTTGGTTGCAAATGAGTGATGGTACGTAGAAGCGGAATCACTTACAAAGATGACGGCCTCGATGATCTCCGACGTCAAAGGGAAACTGAGAGTGTCTTCGTCGTGCAGCCTAAGGGCATGTACAATGGTTGATAAAACAATCTTATCTTAAGTCTTGCATGCAATTTAGAGATGACAAAAAAGTATGTCTACAATGAGTTATATCTTAGCTTTATCTTCAATAACTAGTAATTTCTTAAAACATGGTGAGACAAATTGTGCTAAGAGATCATCTCTTGTCTTATCTTAAATAAGAGAAGACAAGTCTTTTCTTATGAGTTCTCTCTCCTCCACCTCATCATTTATCCTACGTGGCACTTCTAAGATAGCACCATTGTACATGCCCTAAGGGCATCTCCAGCCGCGCCCCCAGGAACGCCTCCCAAGGCGTTTTTTTCTTGCGCCGGCGCCGAAAAATCAGCCTAGTCGCGTTCCTAGGAGCCCGATTTTCGCCGGCTTGGGCGGAAAACAGCGCTGGCGGATCTAGGCCGAACCCGACGCGCTGGGGGGTGCCCGGGGGCGCCGGGGCGAACTGTTTTGGCGCGAAACAGCCGGGGGCCCGCCGCGTCAGCGACTCTACCCTCTTCTCGCCCCTTCGTCGTCCTCATCGCCTCGTTTCCCGCGGCGAATCAATGCCAAAGCTGCCGCGCTGCCGCGCCGGTCAGCCTGCGCCATTGATGCCTCACGGGCGGCGCAGTGAAGACCGGATGACGCGCGTCCCTTGCCCTCCCTCGCCCGCCACGCGTACTCACGGCGGCTCGCGCATGGGCGGCGCCTCGGCCTATATAAGACGCGCCCCAGCGCACTCGGCGACTCGCTCTCTGTCGTCGTCGTCGCTCCTCCCTCTCCTCTCTCTCGCCGTCGTCGTTCCTCCCTCTCCTCTCTCTCGCCATCGTCGTTCCTCCCTCTTCTCTCTCTCGCCGTCTCCAGCACCCATGGCCGAGCGCTTCCCAGGCGACGGCGCGGCGGCGAACGGCTTCGGCCGACGCCATCTTCACGAGAGCGAGGCTCGCCTCCTTTTCGAGGCCGAGTACCCGGTCCCGCCGGACATGCGGGTGCCCGGGGCGTGGAGGATCAGCGCCGGCAGCGTGCCGGTGCCCTCGATACCCACCGGCGCGGCGCGACGTGCGGAGATGGCACGCATCCGCTCGTCCCTGCCGCGTGCGGCGAGGGAGGGGCCACGGTACGTCCCCGACAACCCGCTGTGGGAGCCCTACTTCCGCTGCCGTCACGCCGAGCAGCTCGAGGCCACCAATGGCGTCGAGCCCTCCGGCAGGCTCAACGCCGTCGGCCGGCGTCGGTGGTGGGGCGTGCCCGGACGCACATTGGAGGCCGTCCTCGTGTACATCGAGGGCGGCAACACGCCGCGCCTCGAGTACCCCGCTCCCCCGTCCTTCACACGCCGTCGGGGAAGCTCCTGGACCCCGAGGCGCATGGAGGCCGGGGGGTCCTCCTCCTCGTCCGGCGGCTCCCCCTGCCTCCACCTCCGCCCAGTCAAGCCAGAGCCCCAGGGCGCGCCTGTCAGCGCGCGCACCCGCAGCTCCGGCGTCCGCATCGGCGACAACGCCTCCCCCACCGGCCGCTTCGTCCTCGTCGAGCTCAAGCCGGAGCCCGGCCTCCCCGCGGAGTACGAGCAGGTAGCCCGGCGTGGCTTCTCCGACGAGGACGCCCTGCGGTGGGCGCGGGACGACTACCTCTGCGACAAGATGGTCCGGCAGCGCCGGCCCTGGAGGAGATCGCCTCCCGCAAGCGTGGGCGCGAGGACGAGCACGGCGTCGTGGTCCTCGACAGCGACGACGACGACGACGCCCCCGGACCGTCCAACCCGCCGCGCCAACCGGGGGAGGGATGCAGCAGGGACGGCGAAGGCGTCGGCGGGGACGACGACGACGACGACGGCGGTGACTACACGCGGTTCTACCGCCTCCTCGGCATGTAGAACCGCGTGGGCGGGCGGCGAGGAAGACGGCGGGGGTAGCCCGCGGTAGTTTTTCCCTTTTTTTGTAAAGTATGTTTAAATTTGAACGAACTTGCCGATGTTTGCGTTAAATTTGAGTCGTGTTTGCGCCGTATTTGACTTTTTTTTTTAAACGTGGGCGCCGCGACTGGGGGACATCACGGCCCCAGTGCGTGGTTTAGTGCCGGTGCGCCCCCAGGGGGCGATTTTTTGCCGCACGTCCAGCAGGTCTTCGTCCTCTTTAGGTGTAGGAGTAGGAGTACCAGTAGCGGTAGCAGTAGCCGAGGCATTATTTTGTTTCTTCTCCTTGCGCTCTTGGATGATATCTGCCAGGATTCGTTGTATCCGGGCGTGGCTCCTCCTCAGGTCGCGGGAATCACCCGTCAGCCACCGCACCAGCCGCGACGACGGGTAGAGTTCCACCAGGCTGAACCCTCCCACGAGCGAAGCCAACACGGCGAGCTCTCGGAGGTACGCCTCCTGCTGCCGACACTTGCCGCCAAACGCCGCCCTGGCGATGATGTTGTTTGTCAGCCTGGCCAGCTCCTTGCCAATGTCGATGATGGCGGACGCCGAGGCAGAAGACGCGGTAGCCACCGACTCCATGAGGTGTGTGACCTCGGCTTGCTTGATGGAGTCCATCCGGCGCACCTGCCGTGCGCTGAGCAGCTCCATGATGCAGAGCTTGCGCATCTGCCGCCAGTGGTCGCCATAGGGCGCGAAGGCCAAGCCTTTGCCCCCGCAGCTGACGATGTCCAGCGTGGGACCGCTCGGGCGGGTCGCGAAGGTGAGGTCACTCGTCTTGAACACCTCCATCGCCGCCTCAGGGGTGGACACAATGATCCTGGGCACTTCGCCGAGCCTCAGCAGCCTGAGTGGGCCGTGCCGGCGTGCCAGGCGAAGGAATGCGCGGTGGGGCGGCAGTTTGGTGCCGACGAGGTGGTGGAGACTGCCAATGATGGAGCAATGCTACATTTACAGTCGTTTTACCAGATGGGAGCTTACGGATGGAAGTGGCATCATTAGATTGGAGACAGGAGAGCCTCACACCTGAAATTCAGGGGGGAGTGATGAATTAGACTCTGCCAAGTCTGTCCGTATGAGAGTTTCCGTAACTGCGGTCTGTAAGTGGAGCATTTTCGTATATTTATAGTGTAGCATAGATGCTTGTTGGAGTTGCTGCACCGAAGATAGGACATGCAAGAAAACAGACACGTTGCTATCTGTCACACCACCGAAAGTCCAGATCATGTCAAAACGAAGAGTTGAAACCAAGAGATGACTTAGCTGTAAGAGGTTCTAGCTTCCAGGTTTTAGGTTTGTCCTAAGTCAAACTTCCTCCAGTTTGACCAAGTTTGTAAAAAAAGATAGTAATATATGTGTATGTATATATATATATATACACACACACACACACACATAAAAACAAATGTATGAAAATATACTTTATGATGAATCTAATGGAACTGGATTAGTGTTGTGAATTTTGTTATGTTAAAAAGTTTGGCTTAGGGCAAACATAAAACTTCAAATATTTTGAATAGGAGGGAATAAATACAGCCTGCAGGCCTGCACACATCGCTACTACAAGCACATACTAACACATCACTTAGCAATACTACAACTCTAGAGCTTCAAGATCCTTTATGTATCCACATCAAGGTTTTATTTTTCTCAATACTGGTTTTTTACCGGGCTGGACTGGAGGGAGTACACGTCTTCTTAGCAAGATGTTGGAATCAACTGCCTCCAAATTCCATCACATCTATTGCACGCCAACCATGAAATTTCACACTTATTCCAATTTCACACTTATTCCATGCACGTTCTTGACCTTTGATTTTTCAACTATTACAAGTGGCCACACATAGCCTTGGAGACTTGGAAAATTCCATGTCTTACAAGTGTACAATCGGGTGGACAGAACTCATCTTCGTTTTTGTTTTTGAGAAGTCATCATCGTTTTTCAGACCACGTGATCTGCAGGAAGACTTCCATGCATGCATGTTTGCAGAATCAATCCTGATATTGTCAAGTCGCTAACAATACGTGTTGATACATCTAAAAAATTCTGATTAGTCTAGATAGGTGGCGGCTTTGATTAAACAGTTGACAAATCAGCTTGAAAAATCACTTATAATCTGATTTTCGTATGTATGTATATTATATTATGGCTACTAGCTGATGTGTACATGCAATAATATGTTTCACATAAACCAGTTTTCATGTTTTCCTTTTTATTAAAAAAAGGAGGGTAATAACTCCTAGCCTCTGTGACGACTCATGCTTGCATCCATTTTATTGCTTTTTGATCGTCTGTAAAAAGAAAATAAGAAAACACCATACTCGCCAGACTAGATCAACTGAAATAAAGATTGTAAATCACACTTGTGATAAATAATCATGTTGCTAAACCATCAGTTGAATTGGTTCGACATAGTTACAACAATCTCCAAGTGGGTGCACCTAGCTATCAAAAACATGGCCTTCTACATGTTGTGTACTTATTGACTTAAATATTGCCAATTTTGGTACGAACTTATACTAAACTGTATTATAAAATTTTACCGAGGGAGTAGAAAAGAATCATGCATGTTAGCGTACGCAAATAGGTGTGGCGGCGTGGTGGCGGGAGCTGGAGGCGGGGTCGTGGGCGCGTGGCGGCGGCGTGGTGGGCTTCACGTGCTTGTGCGCGTCCATGGCACGGGCTCCGGCTTGGTCTGGCTCGGTCGGATCTGCGGCCCGGTGGCCACGAATGGCATGCGGAGACTCACCAGCGGGGCACGGGCGTGTCCGCTGTGGCTCACACGGCTGTCGGTGGCCGGTAAGCGAGGCCCGGCGTGGCACCTCCTTGGGTCGTCTCCGGGTCGGATCTTGACTGTTCGGGCGCCCTCGACGTTGGGTGGGTGTCCGCTCCTTGCGGATCTGAACTGGAGGCCGTGGTGGGGCGTTGTAGGGGGAAACTTGAGGAGGCTGGAAGGAGGGATGGGTGGTCTGCCCACCCGTCGCTGGCGTGGGGTGTGTCGGTTGAGGTCTCGCACTGCTTCGCTGCACCCCTTTCTCTTTCCCCTTGCATAGTTGCCTTGCATCAATCTTTCGAAGCATGCCGTTGCTGGCGGCACCGACATTGGTAGGGGTCTACTTGTGGTGGAGATACGCTCCTTTGGGTGGCCGATGGGGGCATCGGATCGGAGTTGTGGTGTTCGTTGGTGGAGCTCGCATCTCGGGTGCGGACTGGCGACCTTGGTGGCCTGGACAGCGGGGTGGCTCAGGCTCAACGATCCATGGCGGTGGGAGGCAAGTCTCTTTGATAGGGCGCACCCTAATCGGAGGTGGAGTTGTATGCCGGGGTGAAATCCTTGTCTGGCCGTGATCAGACCGACGGTGGTAGCATCCGGGGCATAGTCCCATTCTTGTAGGCTCTGTCGCGGCCTCTCCTAATGCCCCGTGTTGCTCCAGATGAAAATCTCGATCCTTTGGATCGGGTGGTGGCGGCGCTCTGTGGTTGTGTCCTTCCTGAATGCACAACCTTGAAGCTGACGGTTCGTTAGCGGTCAGCTGCGTTGTTCAGGGTGGCTTGTTCTCGATGGAGGGCTCCGTCAACTTCGTAGTGATGCTTATTGTACATCTGTTGTTCGCTTTGAGTTGGCTTAGTTGATCTTCGACCTCTTTGTATTTTGCTTTGGGTGTGTGTGTGTGTGTTTGGGTCCCATGTTGTGTGGTTCGGATGTATGAGATCCGTTGCTTTATAAGCCCTTTTCGGTAAATGGGCATGAAAGATGGGGATAAGGCTCCAAGAGCTACTGTTTCAGTCACATAAGGTGTTGTATCAGTACCTAAAATGATGAAGTGGTGTTTCTCTGCTCTGCATGCCTCTCCATCCTTTCAAGGATCCGATCAAAACATTTGTCAGAAATCTGATCCAAACGACTATTGATATCTTCCATGTTTTCATTGGAGGAGGATGGTGTGGTGAGCTGGTTCATGGAAGGATTTATTTTTTGGTCAGAATTTCCGGTAACCGACATGTTGCCGCAAAGTTTAGTGACCCCCGAAAAATTGATAGTACTCAATGCTTTTTGAAGTTTTTAAAAAATTAAATGACTGAATAATGTCAAATAAGCTGCACTTGGCTTAATTAGCGGTACGGAGTGTGGCCCGCCATTCTTTTCAAGCTTTGCTTAAAAAATTACTGGTCGCGGTGTGGTTCATCGAGTGGAGATCGAGACCTCCTGAAGGTATGCTGCCCACTAGAACCGAAAATGGGTTAAATATATTATATTTTCACACCAAATTTTTGTTGATTAAAAAATCATTTGAAATTTTAGGCCAAAAAATCTAGAATTCCCAAGATTTTTTGGAAGCCTAATTTTCCGGCCCCTCATGAAATATGACTTGAATAAAAAAATATTGGTTCATAGTGATGGTGGAAGGGATGGAGAAAATTTAGGGCAATTCTCGAGGTGGAAGGGTGGTGATCTAGCTCTAAAATACCTAGTGTTAGAAATATCCCATGATCTCATGAATAGCACATAAATTACTCTCAGATAGAAGGATTTGGGTAACAAGATTACACGAACAAGCACAAGGGGCAATGCGAATCAATGCCAAGTTGGGAGAGAGTGCCACCACTGCTCTGTTATCAAAGCCTGGATGTGCTTTTTTCAAGAAGATGCAAGAGCATTGCATGTCTTTTTCATTAAGAAGAAGAGGTTTCGTACATAGATCATTAGAAGGGTCAGAGGTCACCTTCCATAGACAATTACCCGAGGCGCCGCTTAGTGAATTTGAAACATGTGCCCACCATTTACCCTAGCAGCACTCCACAGGCGTAGTTCTGCACGGATTAAGGAAACGGCAGCAGCGGCTAAGGAAGCCTTGTGGTCGAAGACACGGCTGTTATGCTCCAGCCAGATGAATCGCAGCGTGGCGGCGATGATGGTATTCACCATCTTCCGATGGCTGGCCGGCGCTGCAGATAGATTGAGGTGTGAACCTATGAAGTCTCAGCGGCAGCAATATATGGTACCACACCTCAGGCGCAAAGGGGCAGCCAAGGAACATGTGTGTGATATTCTCGTCGACCTGGCAGCAGAGTTGGCATTGTTGAATGTGCGGAAGGTTCCGGCGTGGCAACCTGCCGGCCGTCCCAAGTCTTCGATGCACCCCCAACCATGTAAAAAAATTGATCTCGAGGCGACCAAGAAAGAATGTGGCGTACGTGTAAGCCAGAGTAAGGTGATCGATGCACTCCTTCCATGACTTATAGTCACCGGCCACATAGTTTGAACGTTTGGCGCATCCCTCTAATGATGGTTCACGGCAAAACAGTGGTGATTAAAGAATTATTCGCTATGTTTCAAAATGAGTGTCTCAATTTTATACTAATTTTAATATAAAATTGTATTAAGTTTGAGACATTTATTTTAAGATGAAGGAAGTAGCTAATAGGAAGACGTGGTCGTTCCTCTTCGGTACCTCCATTTGTGCCCCAGGGGTGGACACATGACGATGGGCACTTCGCAGAGCCTCAGCAGCACAGGCAGCCATGCCGGCGTTCCAGGCGTAGGAATGTGCAGTACGATGTGGTGGAGGCTCCGGGGCGGTCGGCCTCCATGACCGCCGTCGGGGGCCGCGGTGCCCGTACCTAGTGTTCGTCCGCCGACTGTGTTGGCCAGTTGCTCTAGAGAGTCTTTTTCTCGAGCCCTTGCTCCGGGTTTTTTGCTCTTTTGCCGATCGTTTTGATTGACATTTTTTTTTTGGTTTTCTGATCTAATCTTGATCGATTTACGTCGCCCGCCGCCGCCGTCGACGCC